CCTTTATAAATATGCACAAATCAACATGAGTCTAGAAATCACAAGATATTCAACACTGATAAAAACATCATTCATTCATTCATTATTTTTTCGATTTAGTCTCTTCATTATTAATTGAGGGTTGCCACAGCGGAATGAGCCACCAACTTATCCAGCAAATGTTTTACACAGCGGATGCTCTTTTCAGCTGCAACCCATCACTGGGAAACACCCATACACTCACATTCACACACGTAAACTTTGGATAATTTTAGCTTACCATTTTCACCTATACCACATGTCCTTGGACTGTGGGGAAAACCCGGAGCATCCGGAGGAAATCCACACCAGCACGGGGAGAACATGCAAACTCCACACAGAAATGCCAACAGACCCAGCTCAGGCTTGAACCAGCAACCTTCTTGCTGTGAGGCGACAGTGCTACCCACTGCACCACCCCATAAAAAAAAAATCATCATATATCTCATTCTGAAACATTAAAAGCATATTTAGGACGGTTATAATGCTGCAGGACATCACTGATGAACAATCAGTAGATTTAAAGTATTTCAACAATATTTTAACATCTGATTTGATCATTTCTGTGGCCCTTTTTAAATAAATCAGAGTAAATTATGTGACAAATGTTAACCATGTCTGCTTTTATCTGTTTAGCACTCTAATAAGCTATAATAAAAACAAAATTACAATTTTATTAATGCTGAAATGATTTAGACCAGTGGGTTTTCAGACTTTTTTCACCAAGTACCACCTCAGAAAAAAAGTGTCCCTCCAAGTACCACCATAATGACCGGTATTTAAATACAGAGGCGTATTTGGCTTAACTTAGCAGCTACAGCTCTGCAGTTCAAAACTGTGGCACATTAATTCCTATTGTTATGAATATTTATTATTGTCAGCCACTTTAAACATTTTAAATAGTTTGAACATTAACCCTGCCCTGTGCTTACAGATAAAAAATAAATAAATAAAACGTCAACGCTTAAATTAAAATAATTAAAAATGGCACTGTTCTTAAAAAGTAAACAGAAAACTGCTGTACTAAAATGTTAAGCATTAACATATGGTAGCCTTTTCGTCAAAACCTGGAAATGTTTCTTGGACCTTATAAATATCATCACATTGATATATAAAATTTTTTTAGATAAATTTTGAAATACAGTTGAAGTCAGAATTATTAGCCCCCCTGAATTAATAGACTGCATGTTTATTTTTTCCCCAATTTTTGTTTAATGGAGAGAAGATTTTTTTCATCACATTTCTAAACAAAATAGTTTTAATAACTTATTTCTGATAAATTAATTATTTTAATCTTTGTCATGATGACGGTAAATAATATTTTACTAGTTATTTTTCAAGACACTTCTATACAGCTTAAAGTGACATTTAAAGACTTAACTAGGTTAATTAGGTTAACTAGGCAGGTTAGAGTTATTAGGCAAGTTATTGTATAATGATGGTTTGTTCTGTAGATTATCGAGATAAAATATGGCTTAAAGGGGCTAATAATTTTGTCCCTAAAATGGTGTTAAAAAATTTTTTAAAACTGCTTTTATTTTAGCCGAAATAAAACAAATAAGACTTTCTCCAGAAAAAAAAAATATTATCAGACATACTTTGAAAATTTCCTTGCTCTGTTAAACACCATTTGAAAAATATTTTTAAAAGAAGAAAAAAATTCAAAGGAGGCTAATAATTCTGACAACTGTATATGTTGCATGTGTTTATGACTTATTTGTATATCTTTAAAATTTAAACATTAACTTGTATTCTAAATACATGAATTGTATTTACATATTTAAATTAGAAATTAGATCTGCGTACTGCGTGTTAGAGTAGCTTGGTGTGTGTGAGAAAAGCAAGTGATTAAACTATACCCGTCAACATTGGAACATAAAAATATGATATATGCCCCAAAAACTGTTACAAATTCGGGGAGGAAATTAGCTTCAAATGATAGAACACATAAAAAATATTTAAAAATTGAAAATAAAATAAAAGGTTCAGCCTATTAAAATAAATTTACTGATCACACCAGTGTGATCGTACGCATCAAAGGGTTAAATGTGTTCATTTTTTCCTTTAATTCTTCAGCAACTGATCTAGACAGCACAAGCTGAAATATCCTCATATACCTTATTCTGAAGCATTTTAAATCATATTTAAGACAGATATAATGATGTATGACATCACTGATCGGTAGTTTTAAAGTATTCAACAATATTTTAACATCTTATTTGATCATTTCTATGCCCACGTTGTAAAGAATGCTGTGTTCAACACAATCGACTTGTGTTGGGACAACATGAAGGAATTTAGTTTAACTGAGCTAACTTAAACACTGAAAACTGGACTGACTCTGTTTCAGTTTTTCTTCTATGTGAAGCTGCTTTGACACAATCTACATTGTAAAAGCGCTATACAAATACAAGTGAATTGAATTGAGCTAAATCATTAGTTTTTACACATTTAAGTGGTTTGAACATAAAACTATTTAGCCCCCCCCCCCCCCAAAAAAAAACTGAAGAATGGTTTTAACTCATTGTAAATAAGTAGTTTAAACAAACAGCAAATATCATTTTTTGAGTAAGTATATTATGTAAATGTCAATTTTATTTATTTAGCACTATTAAACACAACCAGAGGTTGACCAATGTGCTGCACAAGACACATCACAAAGAAAAATATCAAATTAGAGCTAAAACAGACAATTTTCATTAATAAAATGCCAAATCAAAAAGGTAAGCTTTCAACCTATATTTAAAAACAGACATAGATGAAAGAGATCTGATACAGAGGGGCAGAGCATTCCACAACCTAGTACCAGCTACTGCTAAGGCTCGGTCACCTCTGCATTTCAAACTCGACTTAGGGATAAATAACAATCTCTGGTTAGATGACCAAAGAGACTGATCAGGGGTACGTTTCCCAAGCAATGACGTAACTCGCGGCTGAACTATCATAGTACAATGCATCGTTTGGGAAAAGAACAATGTAGTGACGAGTGTTTCCCAAAAGCCGTAGTTTCTCTGTCGCAGATCCATTGTTTGAACCAAGTTAGTTATAACATAAAACACCCATAATGATGCTTTAAACGGGGTGGAGTAACAACTTATTTAGAGAAGAACTCCATAATTTTTTTTGTGCAAATGTTATTCTTTTACACAAACACGCATTAAAAAAAAATCCAATATTAGTTTTGGTAAAAACATGCACTCGCTTTCCATATTTATTGAAATATATGTAAATGGCACATATAGGTAAGATGTTTCCTTTACAAATATCCTCGAGAATGTTAAATGCCCTATTCTATAACATAAAATCACTTACAAAAGCTAACATGTATACTAATATCATATATAGATTATATAAATTAATAAATAATGAGGCGATTTATTAAAAAAATGAAATTTATATTTATTATTTATTACAATTTGACACATGCAAACTACTGCAGAAATGTTCTAACCAACAGGCCCATGTCATATACAGTACAGATACTTAATAAATAACCCACTATAAATTAAAAGCATTAATGTATATGCTTTATGAGGCATTGTGAAGGGAGGGCAATTCTCAAGATGAAGATCGCTAAAACTGAACTGTACTTTGAAAGCAAATTACACCTAAGAGTGAGGCCTTTTAATCATTCCAAGTTTAAATGTTTGAAAGTTCTAATTAAATAGGGCATAGGGGGGTAACTGGGAAATGAACACACCCAGGAACCATGTTTCTAACTACAGCTCCAGAGGTGTAGTTGCAAGTGCACAAGTTTACAATGAAGTTTACGAATGTTCATTGGAACGATGGATTTGGGAAATGGCAAATCAACAAATTAATGACACAGCTTGCGACCTTAGTTTAATAAAGATGGTTTTGGGAAACGAACCCCAGGCTGATACTCAATCAGCATCTCTGATTGATAAGAAGGTGCCATGTAAAAACCATTTAGAGATTTAAAAACCAAGAGAAGAATTTTAAGTGACTCGATAGTGCACAGGCATCCAGTGCAAAGAGCATAAGACTTGTGTAATGTGGTAATATTCCTTGGTACCTGTTAAAAGCCTTGCAGCAGCATTTTTTACTAATTGTAAATGGAATAGAGTTTTCTGACTAATCCCAAAATATAAAGAGTAGCAATAATCCAGTCTAGTGATAATAAATGCATGGATTATTTTTTCTATATTTTTTCTAGATAGAATAGATTTGACTGTTTTTAAATTAGAAGCTGAAAGAAGCAGGATTTGACCACTGCATTTATCTGTTTGTCAAAGCTCAAGCCATCATCCAGAATAACAAGTTTTTTTACCCAGGGCTTCATAGAAAAACTTAATTTTTCAAGATTAGGTCAGTGCTCTGGAAGAGTTTGACTGGCCGAACAAAATCAGTTCACTCTTACTCTCATTAAAATCTAGAAAGTTTAAAGACAACAAGGCTTTCACATCCAACAAGCATAGCTTAAGAGTCTCTATCTCACTTCAACTTGGGTTTAAAGGCAGGTAGATTTGGGTGTGAAAATATGCATGTCAGAGCTCGTTTTATTCATGATTTAATTTAACAGAGCTATAAATCAGATAAATGCTTTGCTTATACATAGTAGAAATAAAGTCTATCAGAAAAGTGTGGATTGTTAAATATGTATTTATAATGTGTCTTCAAAGAGGCATTACAATCACAAACATATAAAGATAAACATCAGTGCATGCGTCATGCCATTCTGAAGATATAAATAACTTGTAATAGACATTCTTCACATTGCTTGTGAATTTAGTCATGGTCTACTGATTTCAATATTTTCATAAATAATGCATAAATATAACAAGCATAATTAACACAAGCCAAGTTTACAAATACACTTTCTCAAGGCTTGTGAGGTATAAAATCTAAATGCATGAGTATATCTGAGGCAGATATCCTGGGTGTTTTATTTTTAACTTTAATTACTAGTGTTGTTCTTAAGCACATATTTTCTTTTGTTCCAGTGCATAATGTGCTCTGAATACAGGGCTGGGACAAATAACATAAGGCTATTGCACAGTTCTTTCACTGTCATAAAGCATACATCAGGTACAGAACCAGACAGAAAAAGCAGAGGTAGGTAAAATCTTTGTTTAATGTTAGGCTTAAATGTAATGCTGGCTAAGGGATAGGGTAGACAGTGTAAACACAGTAAATTTAAACCACGTTAAAGACTGTTAAAGTGAATTGAGAAACTGAAGTGACCTTTGTGATTCTGATTTGAGACTTTATTTAATTGCGTTTGTTTCACTATAGACATTGGATCATGGACTAAAATTGATATTTGTTAATGTTATCCAGTTAATGTTATCAATGTTGTAAAATGTTATCAAAGCACCTGATATGAAGTGAAATCTCACATAAATTTTGGAGTAATTGCTGTTTTTCAAAATTCATAGATGGAAATATCAGTTATAATATTAAAGGAGCCATAGTGAGTTATTTCAATTTTCAACTTGTCTATGATTAGTCAAATTGTCCTCTGATATGTATATAAGGTGCGTGGCTTAGGTAAGTTCGAAACAGAAACTGTTTTATATGCTCATTTATGACTACATGAATTACAGCTCACTTTTGACCATATTTGGAATGGTCATGCAATATATATATATATATATATATATATAAAATAGCTCCTTTCTGACACTTAGCAGCTCATGTCAGTGCCTGCTCTCTCTCTCTCTCTCTCACTCTCTCTCCCTCACACAAACACACACACACACACACACACACACTTGTGCAGCTATCTTCATGGGGATTTCCCATCAATATAATGATTTTTATACTGTACAAATATATAATATATCCCCCTAAACCTAACCCTAACAGGAAACAATCAGCATTTTAATATTTTCAAAATACTTAATTCTTTGATCACCGTTTAACTCATCAAGACCCATTTTATTTATTTTTTTCCAAAAGGTAAAAATATACTGCTACTGCTATACTGGTGTAGGCATTTGGTCCCCATAATGTAAAGGATATATGGTACCCACATAAACATGGCATAATATGCCTAAATATATACATACAAAGTAATTGTACATTAGTTGTCCAAATAAATAAATAAATAAATAAATAAATAAATAAATGAATAAATAAATACATTATATATATATATATTGCACTGCTATGAGTGTGATATTGCATTTATACCATTGTTTGACAGCATTATTGTGTAAATAAAAAAGAAAATCGAACACAAAGAGACTCAAGAACTGTTTTGTAAGAGGAACTACTTTCTTCCCGCCATTCTTTCACATCTGCAGCTGACGTCAGAACAGCAGAAACTGTAACTAATTCACCAACGTCATTTTAAAGCTAGTGAATAAATCTCTAGCGTAATGTCTAAAGTGATTTTAATATTATAATTTTAATATTATAAGGCTGAATGGCATGAAATACCATCAGTCTGCTGAGATTTCCCAGTATTTCTCGGTTACAATGGGGAGATCACAATAATTAACCCTAAAAAAGCCTGAGCAAAGCAAACACTAGTAACTTACTATGGTGTAAATACAGCATTACAACATACAAAGAGAGAGAACGACTCACCTGTTCTTTAATGATTTGTTCAGCTGTAGTTTGAAACGTCGGCTGATAAAAAGCTGTTGCTCTCTTCTCAGGCCCTATTATGTGGTCTCTGTTCCCATCTTATGTCGGTAGTCAACCATCTTTGCTTTGCTCAGTATCACTGGCTGATGGGCGCAAACGTGCTGAATTACAAATATTTTAAAATAGGCACTGTTCTTATCAATAAACTGCATATAGTTGCAATCTAAACAACTGCATTCACGACTAAAGTCTCAAACGTACATTCTGTTGTCCAACAGCAGCAATATTTGTCAAACTGTAGTTCTCTGCCTGCTACTTGTGTGGGCGGAGTAATACACAAGGGTGAAGAGGCTGTACAAGTGCTATTTGTTTTCTATCTCACGGCTATCAGCATATATATATATATATATATATATATATATATATATATATATATTCAGATTAACACAATTTTTAACTGCATTTTTATAGTGAGAATAATAAAATTGTCTCATTACAGAAGGACTCCTCTATTTTCTTTTATCTCTGACTTCATCATGAAACGTTCATTCCATCTGTTGATGTTCATGTCAGTCCTGTCACTCTGTAAGTTTATTTTATTATTATTGTTATTATTATTATTGCTATTATTGCTATAAAAATTGCTGCTTGTTTAAACTAACTATTTAAAATGAGCTGAAACCACAATTTTGAGATTTTTTTGTTGGGACAACTTAATTGTTTTAAGTTCAATTCACTTACATTTGTAACTTAACTGATTTATGTTAGGATCCTGCATTTTCACAGTGTAGTTGTTGTTGCTGTTGGTGGTGTTGTTGCTTCATGTCTGTCTCTAAATATTATCTCTTTCTCTTTAACAGCCAGGACACAAGTAACAGGTACTTAAATGACTTGAATTACATCGGTTTTAAAAACTTTGCCAATTTAACAAAAGTACGCCGATATAAACTTGAGAATTCTGAGGGCTCTATTTTGACGATCCAGGTGCAAAGTCTAAAGCGCAGGGCGCAAAAGCATTAATGGCATGTCAGAATCCACTTTTGCTATTTTAACGGAAAAATCTGCTCTAACGGGGTTGTGCTTTTTCTCTTGATGAGTTATAGGAGTGTTTTGAGAATAAACCAATCAGAGTCTCATCTCCCATTCCCTTTAAGAGTCAGTTGCGCCGCACCATGGTGCATTTGCTATTTACATGACAGACTTTGTAAGAGGAAAAACTGAACACTTCACTAGCGAGAAAACTGTTAAACAGAGCATCTACAGCGCGAGAATGAAAGAATTTACTTTCACTTTCACTCTCTTCCGTGGATAAGAAAACATGTTGTACACACAGACATCCATTATCCTACATAATTAACTTAGTTTGTTAAGCGCAGAGATTTGTTTAAAACTATTATTAAATTCAGTTCTAATTTCCAGCAAATGAATAAATGAAAATTATCCAAATACACCTGCTGCTCCATAAGGTCCAAAACCTGAGAGGTGGACAAATCTAAGCTTGATTTTAATAAAACAAATTTAAATATGCATATAATAAATAATACTACTAATCATAATAACATTATACAAAAGCAAATTGTCATGAATAAACTAAAAAATGATGAAGAAGGCATGGAGGCTGTGGTTTTTATCTCTATGTAGAAAATAAAAATTTTATAATATTTTAATTCTTTAATTGTTTTTCATTTGTACAGATATTTGTGTATTGCTGTACATCCTGTGTGTATTAAGCAATGTGTAAGCGATGTTTGCAGCAGTGCGCCCTGCGCTGGACTAGACCTGCTTTGATCTGGTCTATTTTGCAGTCTAATATGGTTCCTCAAAATAGCAACGAGCCAGCAATGCGCCTTAACACACCTCCTTTTTTAGACCCGAACGCCAATGGGCGCACATATGAGCGCAAATGCATTTGCTATTTAAACAGCATGCTGCAAAACGACACTTTCGTCCAGCTGAAACTAGCAAACAGCATTTGCATCGTACCTCCCGCCACATTGAGCAAGATGTATGATAAGGCCCTTTGTGTCTATAAAAAAACTTTACGCCAAGCGAGTTCATGAGGTTTTAATAGTGTTTGTGTTTGTTTATTCTTTCAGAGTTTTTCACCACTGCCCTAGGTAATTATTCACACACTTAGCAGTCTTAAAAATGCCATTTTAAGTGAATTCACACAAGATTTTAAATGGGATTTGTATGTGTTCAGAAATGACTACAGAAGCAACCACGGTCTTACCAGGTAACCAGCATTTTACTGTACAGTTTTTGCAAAAAGTAAAAGAAAGGTAAAAATAATCAAGTTTATTTTAGCTTAGTAATCCAATGTTTCCTTCACAAACAGTCACATTTTATTATGCCTAATAAAAATGTGCTTTATGACTGTTTCTCAACCAACGTTCCCACTAGCACTGCATGTTTTGGAAGTCTCCTTTGTCTGCCACACCCATTTGAGGTCTTTCAGTCTCTGCTAATGAGCTGATGATCTGGTGTGTTTGGCTAAGGAGACATGGAAAATGTGCAGAGCTGGTGCTCCTCCAGGAGTGTGGTTAAGAAACACTGCTTTAAAGGCTTCTGTTACTTTTACTAATTGCTCTATTTTAATAAGCTAGCACTATTAATCTTTATTTTAATAGCACAGTTTAGAGCTGCATCACAGTAATCACATGACATTTTTATGTAACTAGACTACATTAATCATGGTACAGCAAATGTTTTGCTTCATATTTTTTCTATATTTTTTGTCTGTCATCTGAAACATGTTGTTTACTCATGATAGAGTAATATTTTTTGCATTGTTTTAAGGTAGCTGGTGGGTTCTGCTAAAAATAACGCTGTTCTTTATGCAGGATCATTCTACTCATTCGGATCAGCAGCAGGAGACTTACTAAATCCTGCTGCTGATGATGGAAGCTCCTCTGTTATTCCACTGTTGAGTCCATTTCAGTATTTTGGTCTCACATACCAGCAGATTTACGTAAGAATTTGACTATGTCTTAATGTCTAAATTTGATTATTGGATGTTTTATACACTTAATCTCTGATCAGACAAAGCTGATTTTGACAGTATTTCTCATGTTTCAGGTTAATAATAATGGATTCCTCACATTCAACCAGGCTTCTTCACAGTTTGCTCCCAACTCATTTCCAGCTAATGGAAGTCAAGATGTAATTGCTGGACTCTGGACCAACATTGACAACAGTGCGAGAGGAGTCGTCTCTTATAATCAGTACACCAGTGGAAGTGTTCTCGCTAGTGCCACTCAGGATATAAACAATTATTTCCCAAATCTGACCTTCACCGCTTCTTGGGTCTTTGTTGCAACGTGGGATAAAGTCGCTTATTTTAACTCGTACACAGTAAGTTGAAGTGTAAACTGTTTTTTTTACACTTTTAAGATGAATCCAATGCAAAGTACAATACTTGCTGTAGCTTGTGATTGTTCACTTGAGAGTAGCCTACAACTAAAAAATAAAGTAAAATAACAGAGAATAGCATGTACCTAAAGCCAGGACACTTGTCACACTGCATTAACGCAACCCCCATAATTAAAATTTCAGCTGTCATAACATCAGACTGCAACGATCAAAATGCGTCAAATACAGACGCACACAACTCACCAGGAATTTTTTTATGCCATCACAGTGAAATGAAATTCATCACACAAAATCAATCAATTTTAAACTAATTCCCATGTTTTCCGTGTCCATTTGTTGTTGTTGTTTTTTTTTTTTTGAACAAGGTACACCACCATGTAATTTGTGTTTAATAGACATTTTTACATCTTGGCTAAAACAATACTGAATTTGACTGTCAGTGAAAATCTACTTGATCATGTCTAAAATAATACAAAACTAGGCTATAGCCAAGTCCCTTTAAGGCAGATGTGTCTAAACTCAGTCCTAGAGGGCTGGTTTCCTGGAGTGTTTAGCTCAAGTGCTAATCAAACACACCTGAACCAGATAATCAAGCTCTTATTAGACATACTAGAAACTTCCTGGCATGTGTGTTGAAGCAAGTTTGAGCTAAACTCAGCAAGACACCGCCCCTCCAGGACTGAGTTTGGACATATCTGCTTTAAGGCAAGTCATTTCACTCTGCGGCTATCTTTGTAACGCCTCTTGGGCAGTATGCTCGGCCATTCTGTCTGAATGGCGAAACATCAAATTCTCCAAAACTGTTTACCCAGCTTACGATTGCATTACATATTTGGAACTTCCAATAAAATTAATCAACAACTTTCTTTCAAGTTTCGTTTCTAAACATTCGAATCAAACTAAATTGGCATATTTTCAGGGTGCCCGAGCTAATGTACATGTGCAGTCGAAATGAATGACATCCCGACATCAACCTCATTTAAGGCTGTTTGCAGGGCCGGATTAACCAATGGGCATTGTAGGCATAGGCCCAGGGGCCTATGTGCACTTGGGACCCCTGTGAGGGGGGAAAAAAATTAGATTTTGGAGTGTCTATTTAGGCTAATTTCAAATACCGCACTTTGTTGGAATAAGCTAGTTAAGCGATTCACACCCATCACCATTTGATTGATAGAGACAACGAAACTAAAGAGCGCAACAGACATCAGCGTGACTGGCATAGCTAATAAAGCGCATGGCAACATGTTTTGACGTGATCGATGATAAACCCGGTTCAAATCCATCATCTGATGAACACGTTCCTTTTTTTTCTACCACTTCATATCAGATTTTGCTTACTCTTCATCATGAGGAAGACAAGTAGTAATCATTAATAAGTGTGTGTATTATGGAGGACTCAGATTCATACAACTGGATTGGAGAGGTGTTATATCCAAGTTTGTAGAAATTATACATTAAATACACTATTAAATATATATTTTAGTACTGCTTCAGTATACTTGAACAAGTATAATAAAATCCATTAATTGTCACTAGTTGTATTAGTATGTTTTCTTTTCAAAGTGGGCTTTAAATGCTTTAAAAAATAAGTGAAATCTTTGTAGACTAGAAATATATGCACTGTATATCATTTGTTTTAAAAATGCGGGCAAAATATTATAGATTAATTTTATTCAAAAAACATTATATTAATCTTATGTTTAATTCAACTATAGGGGTGCGGCTAGGTAGGGGGCAAACTACAAGACATTGTGCCTAAGGGTCTCTGAGTTTGACAGAACAAACTCTACCTCATGTTCATTTCAGACAGATTACAAAACTAAAAAACTTTTGTTTTCAAGTGCACTTGGCTCATTTAAAAGCACAGATTACAAGCTTCACTTGGATATATTTCCCATGTCTGTAAAGCAGGTATTTGCTGACAATCCAGAGTGTTTGTCGAACACACAAATATTGAAAAAGCACATGTCTGGTTTGAGCTTTTCCACCGTATAAACGTCAATCTATAACGATCTATGATTGGCTCCTATACTAGTAGGTGGGGCTTCATTCATCATATTGAACATTACACTTTTCACTATTCAAAACTATACAAGTGACATGTCATGTATTTTAGAGTCTTTGACTATAGTCATCAATAGACATATATAGTCATTCATTCGTTTTTTTCCCTGAGCGCTTTTGTTTTCTAATTCACTATATATTTTTTATCCCTGTCATGATACAGTGAGATGGCATACAAACCTATCAGTTCTTGGTTTTATGGTCATTGTAGTCAAAGTCACACTGCAGGAAAGTGTCCTTAAAAAACATATGACCCTAACAGAACTTTATGAGAGGTAAAATGTGTGCATAATGGTCAGCTAGCACGTCAAACCACTTATCAAACGGTACAGATTTTAGCGTAGGATTATAAAAATCATTTAGGATTTTCAAACCTGGTCTCGGGTGTCACAAAGTACAAAGTGTTTTTGCTAACAAATAAATAATTCTTTTTTTTTTTCAGGAAACCTCCTTTCAAGTGGTTTTAATTTCAGGCAGCGGTTATTCTTTTATTCTGATGAATTATGGTGATGTTGCTGCAACAGGATATCCTGTACAGGTAAAAAAAAAAAAAAAAGTCCTCTAAAAAAAGTGCTTCTTAAACCTATCCTGTCTCAATCTTTCTTACCCTACTTTTACAGTAGATCATTTTGTATATTGTTGTACAGGCTGGTTATGATACGGCCTACTCCACAGACTACTTTGTGATTTCTGGATCAGACAGCGGGAGCTCCATCTCAGACCTCAAGACCTTCAGTAATGTCAATGTTCCAGGCAGATATGTCTTCAGGGTAGACACTGGATCAAACACAAATAAAAGTATTCTTACAGCTTATTACCATCAGATTGTTAAGCAGAATCAAATGTGATATTCATGCCCAGAAATTAAATATATTAGAAACCAATGTTAGAATGTGTCTCACTTTAGATGAAATTGTTGGACTTCAAGGGAAGCTTGCCTCATTCCTAGACCTTACAGATGAAGGAAACAAGCAGATTGTTTTGCAGCAGGTAACAAATACAATTATTTATACAATTTAAGCACTATTAGGTTACATGGGCAGAGTTGATCTGTCTGTTCATCTTTGTTATAGATCCAACAAGAGCTGGTGAAAAAGGGACTGCCAAGCAACATGAAGTTAACCATAAAAAAAGTAGAAAAGATGCTGCCGTAACAATAGGCCTCTTTCATCCGTAATATAAGTCTCTTTCAGCTTAATATAAGTCTCTTTCAGCCGTACTATGTCTCTTTCAGCTGTATAAGTCTCTTTCAGCTGTAATATAAGTCTCTTTCAGCTGTAATATAAGTCTCTTTCAGCTGTAATATAAGTCTCTTTCAGCTGTAATATAAGTCTCTTTCAGCTGTAATATAAGTCTCTTTCAGCCGTAATACAAGTCTCTTTCAGCCTAATATAAGTCTCTTTCAGTCGTAATATAAGTCTCTTTCAGCTGTAATATAAGTCTCTTTCAGCTGTAATATAAGTCTCTTTCAGCTGTAATATGTCTCTTTAAGCCATAATAAAAGTCTCTTTCAGCCTAATTTAAGTCTCTTTCAGCCTAATATAAGTCTCTTTCAGTCGTAATATAAGTCTCTTTCAGCTGTAATATAAGTCTCTTTCAGCTGTAATATGTCTCTTTAAGCCATAATAAAAGTCTCTTTCAGCCTAATTTAAGTCTCTTTCAGCCTAATATAAGTCTCTTTCAGCCTAATATAAGTCTCTTGCAGCCTAATATATGTATTTTCAGCCTAATATAAGTCTCTTTCAGTCTAATATAAGTCTCTTTCAGCTGTAATATAAGTCTCTTTCAGCCATACTGCAATATAAGTCTCTTTAAGCCTAATACAAGTCTCTTTCAGCCGTAATTTAAGTCTCTTTCAGTTTAATATAAGTCTCTTTCAGCCTAATATAAGTCTCTTTAAGCCGTAATATAAGTCTTTTTCAGCCTAATATAAGTCCCTTTCAGACATAATATAAGTCTCTTTCAGATGTAATATAAGTCTTTTGCAGAAATATGAAGACAGTTGAACATCAAAAAAATCTAATTGATCTTACGAATCAAGTCTGTTATTAATGTAATTCAAGGATGCAGTCTTCAAAAGGGCGACAATTCACCATAATAGTGATCCTACAGTAGCTTTGTGTGATCAACTGAATAAAGTAAATATAAGTAAAATACACTGATATCCACCCTAGGTTTCTACACTCATTAGAGTTCACTGATATTTTGAATTATTGTTTAGACAAGCATAAGGAAACGGTCATGTTGGCCTGAAGAATGGCAGTGAATTAAAATGACGCAGATGTAGATCTATAATCTTATGAAGACAGGAATGTCACTTTACAAGGAGAACTTGTAGAATTCTTCTCTTTCAAAGTTACCTTTATCTTAATCATTTACGTTCACCCAGACGTGAAATTTGTCACCATTTACTCACCCTTTAAATCACTTTTCCAAACCAGTTTGAGCTTCTTCTTCTTCTTCTTCTTCTTCTTTTTTTGATCAGCTGAATACAAAAGATTTGAAAAATGTAACCATTTACATGTTCTTTGTTTTTCCTACAATGGCTGTCAGTAGTTACAAGTTTCCAACGGTTTCCAAAATATCAAACAAACAAACACACACAGAAAGATATCCTGAAGGATATGGGTGGCAAAACATTGTTGACTGCTGATAAAATAGAAAAAATAGTGTAGATATCAGTGGATACCGGCAGCTGTTACCCAAATTTCTGGTCTAAAACAACTTGTGAGTAAGTAAATGATAACATTTTTGTGTAAACTATAATACACCTACAGTAAAATAGTAAAACCAACATCAAAATGAATCATGATAAAACTGTAGTTTTTACATTCATCATGATCATCCAAATGCAAGCGTGGTAAAGCATACTTTGGTACTGTATAACTGAATGTGCCAAAATAAGGTATATTGTACATATTCTAACTATATGTAGCCAAAATAAAAAGCCTTGATCTTTTGCTTTTGGTTATTTTATTGTGTCATGCTTTATGTTATCAGATCAGTTAAGTCAGATAAGACAAGTTGTTCATTTATTTTTTCATTTTTCATTATGAACTACTCAGGGTGATAAAATAGCAGTTTACCAAACGCAGGTCTCAGTTCAGAAGGTGCAAATGAGTGCAGGGTAAATTTAAAATCGCTAGTTTGCTCATGCAGTCTTCATCTATAAGGTGCTTCTGTGCTGCTTACTTTTATTTTGTTGGTGATTTGTGTTTACAGCCCCAAAATATTTTATGTTTTGTCTGATCAGCTTCATTTCATTTGTAAATATACATCCTTTCCTGTGATTCGGACCTGCAACACATTCCAAGAAAAATGGGAGAAGAACAACTTAGGAATAGTAAAAAAAGTCCCTTTAAGGCAAGTCATTTCACTCGGCAGCCATCTTTGAAACACCTTTCGGGCAGTATGCTCGGGCATTCTGTCTGAAGGGGAAACATCACATTCTCTAAAACTACTTGCCAAGCTTACGATTACATTTTATATTACGAATAACCAACAAAATTAAACAACAGCTGTCTCTTTCGTTTAATTTCTAAATGTTCGTATCCCAGAAAATCTGCAGAAAATCATGTCTAGTCTAAGCCTCTCCCCCGGAGAATTGTCATTCTATAGCGATCGCTGATTGGCTCCTGTACTAGAAGGCGGGCTTTATTTGCCATATTGGCAGTTACACTTTTCCCCATTCAAAAGTATACGAGTGACATGTCTTGTGTATTCTATAGCCAAAGAGCTTAGAATGACCAAGAGGCGACACTCAATAGAACGTTCCATTGCAACAGCAGCGCCCAGCAACAGCCCTGGATTCCGCCATATTGGAGTGAAAGTGATTGGCCGTCAATTGGATCTCATTATTCTCGCAACGGCAAGCAGCTGCTTTATTTTTTTTATTTATTTATTTATTTAAAAAGCGCATTAAAGCTGAGATACAACCTAAAAGATGACAATACAACACTTATTATCACAATCTACAGCACTTCTGATAGTTTATTTTACAGACTTATAATATGCTGTTGTTTTATTGGAGTTTTCATTCCAAAATTGCCCTCTAGTGGCTGTTTACCAAATTACACTCGAGTGTCGCCTCTTGGTCATTCTAAGATCTAAGTTAGTGGTCACCAAACTTGTTCCTGGAGGGCCGGTGTCCTGCAGATTTTAGCTCCAACCCTAATCAAACACACCTGAACAAGCTAATCAAGGTCTTACTAGGTATACTTGAAACATCCTGGCAGGTGTGTTGAAGCAAGTTGGAGCTAAATCCTGCAGGGACACCGACCCTCCAGGACCGAGATTGGTGACCCCTGCTCTAAGTCGTACTGCTATAGCTGTGTCATTTCAGAAGCTGCATCCTCCAAAGGAAGCAGACTTCGAAGGTGATAAAATTTGATAAAATTTTTAAAAATTTGATAAAATTTGTAATGACTTTTTCTCAATAGTATTTTATAACTTATTTTAAGCTATCTAAGGACAAAACAAGGTTTATTAAAGCTGGAAATGTATTTCCTTTGACCCATACAGTACATGTACACATAAACATGTAACGTAGACTAACCATGTTCCGTACACTTTTCGCTATTCAGCGCACTCAAACGACCACTCTTCCGTCATGCTTGTGTGTTCATTCTCTGGGGGAATACCTATTGCACAATCCAAATCTTGATTGATGTCTTTTGGACCAGTAGTTTTTGAGAAAAGATGGGATAAGTACCGCCTTCGCATGTGTACGGAAGATGATAGGTTTTAACGGTGTTCCGTACACGACTAAAATAGTGTTTCGTACAAGCCGCATAACTTTAATTCACTGGCAAAAATGGGCATTGTTTGAAGTCTTATTAAATCTTATATCAGAATATAATATTAATGTGTTCAACTTGAAGTTAATGATATATTTAATAACTCTTTTATGAAAGTTTGAAATGAAATAGCTTCACAATCATTTACTTTTCATATCATGTTTATTTTATTACAGCATGACAATTTAAAATATTAAAACATTAAATTCATGCACATTAACACTAACTTGACTGACCTTTTATGAATATAAACATCATCATTGCAAAAGGAGGATCCAAACAGCATTTGCAGCCTGCTCTCAGGCTCTCTCTGGTGGATAGTTGCGACATGCGGTCATCACCCACAACTGACGTTTAAACATCCCCATTTCAAAGCATTTATTCAACAAAAGATAAGTTATTTAACAATTTGTGATAACATATTATTCACTTCATGAAGACTGTAATACCGTGTGATGCATAAATTAAATGCAAAAGCATATTGTCGTGGCTTTAAATGTCTCCCCTCCCAGGCGACACTCGCACTTTAAAGGTTCAGGACACCCTGGAGAATGTTTTTTTTTTATATTAACAGATTTGTGTGTGTTGAGCATCAGTTAAGACAATGTTAGCACCTGTCAGCTTTAATTGTGGGGAAAACTGGATAATTTTGAGCTTTTGTCAGCTAATTTCAGCTTCAGAGTTTAAAATGATTTTTGGGGCGGGATCAAAATCGGCGACGTAGCGCAGAACTGCAAGTGCAATGATGACGCGTCGGTTTCTCATTATTATTTATAGCGGAGTTTTCTTATCCTATGAGAAGAGCCGGCTGCTTAATTATTCATGAGACCTGCCAGAGTCAAGCCCGAGCTGTGAGACACGTCACAGACCCACGGCAGTATTTACCCGTTTATGAAGGCTCATATGTGTTTGTTTCCATGATCCACGGGGTTTGTTGCATGTTTTCCCCCGCGATCTTGTCAGGGCTGATCATACAGCAAAGCTGTGTGTGCTGCTAGCATTTTTGTCGGTAGAGCAGCACGCGAATTAGAGAATGGCGGACGCTGTCTTTTATCAGGAGTTCATTCACATTCAGACACATCACTGTGCTGCTGTGTTTGCCTAAATCCTTCAGATTACCAGCAGGGCTAATGGTTAAAATAGACAGGTCAGGAGACCTGCTGCACTGAGTCTGCTGGATACGGGGATTGAGGGAGGAGTCCTCATTTATAGGGTTTAAATGAACACACTTATCTTTATAATGATATAAATTGTGGTTATGTGTAGATGAAATTACGAATAACAAATGTAGCAGGGCATTAAATCACTGTTAATTTCTTTGCATTTTAACTTTGTAAACTATAAACTCATGCGTCTCCTCACGGTTTGTCTCATTTTGTGAGCTAGCTTCGTTCGCTCACGTTCTCCCCTGCTGGCCACGCCCACTCCTGCCCGATGCTCGCGGAGCTCCACGCCCATTAATCATGCATCTTTTGAAAAAATTCTGAAGTAGACTTTAACTGAAAGTGTCATGGCCCTTTAAGCTTGCCCACGGTCTATTTTTAAGCGCATTAGATGGACGTAGCAAACTTACTGAATATAGTAGGAATTACCATATAGTAGGAAGGTCTCTGTTGTGGTTGGGGCTGAAAGAGTGAGAATTAAAGATTAAACAGATATTTAGCTTGCCTACGACTAATAAGTATTTATTCAGAGATTAGCGTTAAAAGGTAATCTGTACGGAACATCGTTGTGTACAGAATATGGTTAATCTACGTTAAACTGTCTATAAAATCACTCTTTAGTAAGACATGTCATACTCTTTTTGTTTTTTTAACATGTGTTTAGATATCCAAGTAAAATAAACTTAAT